TGGATCATGGGAGATGAGATACGCACGTAACGCACCTCGTATTTTGCAACAAAACACCAAATCGCTTGCCCTCAAAATAAAACGAAGACGAGAGTACAGAACACCTACACTTGTGCAAAACGCAAAAATCTAGCAAGTTTAGGACAAAGATAAGGCATATGGTTGTAAAACTTTTTGTTAACAAATGTGCTATAAATGTAAGAACACGGGTCTTAGTGCAAAGAACTTCCCAAAGAAAAAGTTACTACCATCCACTAGTAATGGAGGGTCAAAACAAGGAGCCTCAACATAAGAAGACCACATACGAGAAACCTTGGAGAAGAAGTAAAATCTAGCTACGGCTACTTTGAGTGAATCGCAAGTAACATCCAAACAAAGTGAAAATGAAGAGGTCATGGCTATTGATTGGTTTAAATCCTGCGATAATTACCCGAACCGAGGTTCATTTAACAACAAATGAAAAACCAAAAAATTAATATACGAAAAACTGTAATTATAAAGTAAACCGAGGTGAGTGGCATTAGGTTTTTGTTATACATGGCTTCTCTCTATATAAACACCTCCTCCCCGTAAAAAACCTAACTTTCGTACGGTCGCCTAAGTTGTGAAGAACCATGAACCATAAAGTATTCTTCGATATCACCGTCAACGGCAAACCAATTTGTCGGATCGTGATCGAGCTCTTGGCCAACACGACTCCAAAGACGGCGGAGGACTTCCGATGCCTTTGCAACGGCGAGAAAGGTAACGGGAAACTGAGTGAGAAGCCATTCCACTACAAGGGATCAAGCTTCCACGATGTGTCCTTCGGTGTGAATCGATTCTGGGAGGGCATACCACCGGCGATGACTGGAGCCTAATCGATTCGATCTACGGAGGGCCGTTCAATGACGAGAACTTTATCAGGGACTATAACAGTCCAGGTATTGTCTTTATGTGTAACCGTGGCCCAAGTTCCAACGGATCAATGTTTGTCATACTCTTGCAAGAGATGCCGACGATTGGTGGGTTTGGCGACCGGTTCGTCGCTGTCGGCAAAGTTATGAAAGGGATGGAGTTCGCCATAGAGATTGGCAATTTGGGACCTGAGGAAGAAAGAGTTCCCTTTAAGCATATAGTCATCGCCGACTGCGGTCAGATTTCCTAGAATCTATGTTGTTTTTAATGTTTTCTGGTTTGTTTTTTATTTATTTATGGTGTGTTTTTATTTTAGTTTGGTGTTTCCCTTTTTTTTTCGGGCTTGAATTTTATTTGGGTTAATTTCGATAAAATGTTTACTATCCGATTACCCGAACTACCTAATCTGAACTACCCGTAGTCGCAACATTCCTTCGACTTTTTAATTGCTATGGTAAAAAACTTGTCTTGCCCAAAACATGATTAAGTACTCAAGAAGGAAACAAAAACCGAGAAGAGTCGAGACACCAACAAACATAAATATAGTTTCTGAATAAGAGAACTTTTTTCCTTTATTCATTATACTTCTTGAAGACATAAAAGAGAAAGTTAGAACTAGTTAACAAGGATACAAGAGGCGATGCGGCGCTCTAGGGTTTTTAGGGTTCCAGATCTGAACCTAAATCTCACCGTTTCTTGATCTATCTCACCTTAGTAGCTTCGATTTCTGTCCTTGAATACTCATCTCTCTCATTGCAACCCCTTTACTCCATTACAGTGTAATACTGTCTTTGTCCTCCGTCGTGTACCTAAGCAACCTATACCTTTCCCCAGCTACCTTCTCCACCACGTTTCGATGGCTCAACGGTATTCTAGGGAAGAAAAGGGTAAGGCGATCGCGAAGACACACCGATGGGTTAGAGAAGCTCCAATCAAACTCCCAGATGACCCACAAGAAGACCTCATAGCCGCCAATAGACTAACCCTTATGGGCAGAGCCCTAAACCTGGAGATCCAACGACCTCAAGCACTCATAACCTACATGATCCAATATTGAAGACTCGAGGGGAGGGTAACGGGACGTGTTTTGGGCGGGATAAATTCCAATTTCGTTTCTCAGATGAACAAGACATGGAAGCAATCCTCAAGGAGGCTCCCTTTCACTTCAAACGT